GTGTTGGGATTATAGGCGCCGGCGGCCACCCCACCGCCCCTCCAGGATCAACGCATCGTAGACAGAGCCTCGCGGTGTGGTGCACTCGCAGCGGTGCGGTGCCCCAGCTACTCAGAAATGGCCTGAGCCCCAGAGTTAGAGCCCTACCCTAGTCCAGCCTAGACTCCCACATAGGAATTTTTAAAAAGTAATTAATTTGGAAAAGAAAGAACAAAAGTAGATTAAATCAAAATGAGCTGTCATCTGCAGAAATCACACACTGGTAAGCGGATTAATCAGAAGACGCATGGCTGAGGATTTTTTGCAAGGCACCCATCACCAAATTTAAGAAAGCATGATTGCATCAACGAATTTCAAGTTGTAAGTCAATCACGTCTTAATCTAATAGAATGTATTTCCCCATCCAAACGAAAACATAACATAATCGGAATGCCACAGATCCATCCATTCCACAAATATTTAGGATCACCCATGACTCTCCCTTTTGTCTCACTCCCAAGATTTGAAATCTGGGCTTCTTCACCGTGATCCTAACGCAGGGACCTTTCAGTACTGCTTAATAAATCATTTGAGGGTCTTGCAAAAAATTCAAATTTCTAGAGATTTTGAGTTTATGGATTTCGTAGCGGGGCCCCGAAATGGCCATTTTACATGAATCTCAGAATATTCTAACATCAGCGGCCTGAAGCTCACTTAAGAAAAAAAACCTAGGCCGGCGCAGTGGCTCCCACCCTGTAATCCTAGCTCTTGGCAGGGCCCGGCGGCGCGGCATTGCCTCGAGGTCAGGACGTTCCACAACCCAGCCTGAGCGACGAGCCTCGGACCCCCCGTCTCTACTATACTCACGAAAGAAATTAATTGCCACCTGATATAGTATAACGTTATTACAAATTAGCCGGCAATGGTGCACATGCTGTAGTCCCAGCTACTCGGGAGGCTGAGGCAGAAGATCACTCGAGCCCAGGAGTTTGACGTTGCTGTGAGCTAGGCTGACGCCACGGCACTCACTCTAGCCTGGGCACAAAGCGAGACTCTGTCTCAAAAAAAAAAAAAAAAAAAAACTGTTTACTTGTATGGAAATCAGAATTTATTAATCCAGGAGTTAGGAAAACTTGAGAAATTACAAAACTTCGTGTCAACCGCATTTTACGAGAAGAAACCGTAGCTCCCAGACTACTGCACATTCGACAGTCTTCAACTCAATTGTTTAGCAGTGTTTCTCTTCTTGCAAAAAAAAAATAAAAATGAACAGAAAGCTCATTCTCTGCGGAGATGTTAACGCTTCTGATGCTTAGTGCATGTGGTTAAAATTTTTAAAAGCAAAAGAAGAAACCAGCGTCTGTCGCGAATCTGCTGTACCAATGTAAAGGTCCGGTGGGGCCGAGGCTGGCGGAGGAATCTTCAGTCGCTTTGCGGGAGTCGGGCGCCTGCTCTCCGTGGGAAAGGGAGCCCGAGCTCGTGCTGAGGTGAGTGAAAGTGGCTTGGAGGGAGCAGGCCCCACGCCAGAGAGAAGGAGAGGAAATTCGGGCTGGACGCTGTGTCCGCGCTTGTGTGGGCCGCCATGTTGAAACCTGGCAGACGCAGGAAGACCCGGCATTTTCCCAACAAGAGACAATTCTTTTTCCTTTTTTTGCACACACAGTCATCAGAAGAGAAGGGGACAATTCTAACAAGAGCACCACAACACAGGCATCTTTTCTAGAGCAACCTCCTGGGTTGGTCAAGTCTGTGCTGCTTCTTCCTCTTTTCCATTCAGTGGATGCCAGCTCTGCGACCGAAGCTTTTCTCCTGCCCAGTCCTGCTTCCTCCCTTCTCTGTGACCCACAGGCCATAAACCTCCACCCACCGCCCTCCTCTTGCACTCCTACTTGGCCGAACCTTCTGCTTACTGGAGGACCCAACTAACATAAGAAACCACACGAATATATGCTCACTGTAAAAACATTTCAAATGTTACTAAGTAGGTAACATATATTTTTATATATTAACATATAAAATATTTGATATTATTTTATATTTATATTATGAAATATATAAAATATTAATATATGGAATATTTTATATTATATCTATATTTTATAAAATATTAATATATAAAATATATAAACATATATTTTTCAGATAGTGCACTACATAGAATTTAAATTTAGAACAAAATACATCTCTCGGCCGGGCGTGGTGGCTCACGCCTGTAATCCTAGCACTCTGGGAGCCTGAGGTGAGCGGATCGCTCCAGGTCAGGAGTTCAAAACCAGCCTGAGCAAGAGCGAGACCCCGTCTCTACTATAAATAGAAAGAAATTAATTGGCCAACTAATATATACAGAAAAAATTGGCCGGGCATCGGTGGTGCATGCCTGTAGTCCCAGCATACTCGGGAGGCTGAGGCAGAAGGATTGCTTGAGCCCAGGAGATTTGAGGTTGCTGTGAAGTAGGCTGACGCCACGGCACTTGGGATTATAGGCGCCGGCGCCACCACGCCCCTAGGAATAAGATTAGAAGAGCCTGGTGTGGTGACTCAGCCCGGTGGTCCCAGCTACTCAGGAGAATGGCTTGAGCCCAGAGTTAGAGTCCTACCTAGTCCAGCCTAGACTCCCACATAGGAATTTTTTAAAAAGTAATTAATTTTGAAAAGAAAACAAAAAAGTAAGATTAGAATCAAAATGAGCTGTCATCTGCAGAAATCACACACTGGTAAGGGATTAATCAGAAGACGCAGGGCTGAGGATTTTTGCAAGGCACCCATCACCAAATTTAAGAAAGCATGATTGCATCAACGAATTTCAAGTTGTAAGTCAATCACGTCTTAATCTAATAGAATGTATTTCCCCATCCAAAACGAAACATAACATAATCGGAATGCACAGATCCATCCATTCCACAAATATTTATGGAACACATGACCTCTCCTTTTGTCTCACTCCCAGATTTGAAATCTGGGCTTCTTCACCGTGACTCTAACGGCAGGGACCTTTCAGTATGCTTAATAAATCATTTGAGGTCTTGCAAAAAATTCAAATTTCTAGAGATTTTGAGTTTATGGATTCGTAGCGGGGCCCAGAAAATGCCATTTTTAATGAGATCTCAGAATATTCTAACATCAGCGGCCTGAAGCTCACTTAAAAAAAAACAAACTGTTTTACTTGTATGGAAATCGAATTTATTAAATCCAGGAGTTAGGAAAACTCTTGAGAAAATGTACAAAACTTCGTGTCAACCGCATTTTACGAGGAAGAAACCGTAGCTCCCAGACTAACTGCACATTCGACAGTCTTTCAACTCAATTGTTTAGCAGTGTTTCTCTTCTTGCAAAAAAAAAATAAAAATGAAAACGAAAGCTCATTCTCTGCGGAGATGTTAACGCTTCTGATGCTTAGTGCATGTGGTTAAAATTTTTAAAAGCAAAAGAAGAAACCAGCGTCTGTCGCGAATCTGCTGCTACCAATGTAAAGGTCCGGTGGGGCCGTGGCTGGCGGAGGAATCTTCAGTCGCTTTGCGTGGAGTCGGGCGCCTGTCTCCGTGGGAAAGGGAGCCCGAGCTCTGCTGAGGTGAGTGAAAGTGGCTTGGAGGGAGCAGGGCCCACGCCAGAGAGAAGGAGGAGGGAATTCGGGCTGGACGCTGTGTCCGCGCTGGTGTGGGCCGCCATGTTGAAACCTGGCAGACGGGAAGACCTTCTGGAGTTGTGTGAGGGGAGCGGGGACGAGCGCTGGGTTAGAGGGTGGCCCCTTCCTTCCGGCGTCCCCCAAGAAAGTGAGGGGCCAGGGCGCTAGCTTCACTGGCTGGCGAACAACCTGAAGGCTGGATTGGGAGTAGAGGTTTTTTCAGAGAGACGTCTGTCTTTGCGTCGGAGGCGCACTGCGCATGCCCGGTGGCGGTTTTTTGGGGGAGGCCTTTGGGTCCCGCCTTCAGTTTTGTTTCCCGCTTGGGTGAACATCACGGGAAAGTGTTATTCCGAAGACCCAGTAAGGGCAGAGTTAAAAAGAAAAAAACCAAACAACTTTTATTTGTTAATAATTTATAATTACAAAGCACTTTTATAGACACCAAATTATCTGATCTTCATAAAAACATCGTTAACTGTAGTAGCTACACTTCACAGGTAAGAATCCCAAAGCTCAAAATTTAACTGATTTAAATTTTGCCCAGGTGGAAGGACTTGAGTTGGGCGTGTTGGCGCGGCTCTGTAGTCCCAGCTACTCGGGGAGGGTCAGGCGGGAGGATCACTTGAGCCCAGGACTTCCAGACCATCCTTGAGCGGTTATTGCCCCACCTACCTCCACCCCCACCATTCATCTCTCAAATCTCATCCCCCGTTTATGAAAAAATGAGAATGTAAAAATCCAGTGAGTCGGTTGTATGAAATCATAACATAATGCTTCTAGTACACCTAGAAAGATTAATGAGAAGCAATGAAATCCGCTGTTAGTATCGATATAAGCACGCAGGTGAGAGAGATAACAAGATCCAAGCTTATCCCTTTGTAATTCGCTTCGATTTTAGGTTAAGGAAGTCCTAAAGCTTTAAATAGGGTGGAAGAGACGAATTTGCTTCATGGGGGAGGGGTTTCAAGCTGGCCTTGGAAGGACCAGTAGTATTTCCACAAGGGTAGACATGGGAAGAGGAAAGGAAGAGAATATTCCCAGCAGAAGAAATTACCTCGGGAAGTCTTGGAGCTGGAGAATTAGGGCACATTCGAGGAATGAGGAGCAATCCTGGGTAGCTTAACAATAGGTGGGACAGAAAATGGTGAGAGACTGAGGATGAGAGGTTTGAGCACAGTGCCATTGACTTTATATTTTATTCTGTGGATGTTTGACTTTTTCATTGGGGGAAAAAAAACCCATGGTACACCCCATAAGTAATCACTCTGCTTTGTTGCCCAGGCTGAAGGCTTGAACTTCTGGGCTCAAGTGATCCTCCCACCTCAGCTTTCCCAAATGCTGGAATTACAGGCGTGAGCCACCACACCCAGTCCAGATATCATTTTAATAAATATTATGGAAAGATGCTGTTAGGAATGAGAACTATATATATATTTCTTTTTTTTTTTTTTTAGAGCTCTGGTTTTTAAGTAACATTTCAGCATTGGCTTCAAAGTTTTACAGAGTAGGTCACATAGGCATTACTGGGTCTGAAATGTTAGCAAGTACTTTATTATCCCAGCAAAGATTCACATGAATTAATTATCATGTATCAGAATGAATGACAACTGCAGTGTGCTTACCTTACTATTCCAGCAAAGATTCACATGAATTAATTACCATGCATCAGAGGGAATGACAACTGCAGTGCGCTTGCTGGGTGAAAATTACCATTGCAGTAAATTCTCATGCTCTGAGGCAGAATGGATTATCAGCTAGGGAGTTGAGAAGAACATTCATTTTGAACCAAAGAGCCTACAGTAGGTTCACTGTAGTCTTAGCTTTACTCTTTGTTTATCATAAAATGCTGCATTCAGATCACCATTTTCACTTACAGTTTTGTGTTTTAAAAGTCCTTATCTTTTAGTGGTGCTTGCTGAAAAATTTATAGATGAATGATGTACTATCTAGAATTTGTGTCAGAATAATCGAGGGGCAAATTATTCTGCCCACATGTATGCTCGTCTTGGTTGAGCGAGGTGAGGAGTTCATGGAGGGTCACTGTACAGTACTCTATGTTGGTGTATGTTTGAAATTCTTGGTGGTAGAGTTTTTAAAAATACCATTTTCCACAGCAGTTCCTAGGCTGGTTTTTCTATGATCATTTTAAAGTCTCTGAAAGACAAGCCCAGCTTTGATGAATGGTGCCGTGTTACAGTGTAGTCGGTAATCGCCCTTCGTGGCTAAGCGACACATATGGATGAAATCCAAGCACACTGCCCTCAGCTTCCCAAGAGGGTGTTTGGAGGAGTAGGTCTGGGCATCTCTGGAGCCCAACTGCTTGGCTTTGCTACCGTCTCCCCCACTTACTGGCTAGGAGGCCTCTGCCTCTGTGGGTATCCCCTCCCTTCCTTGTCTCCAATAAGGGGTGCACAATGGTATCTACTTCACGGGCTTGTTATAAGGGTTTGATGAGTGGCTCATATGGATACACGAGTATCCGTGAGTGGATCCACATGTATTCCATACACACTTGCTGTTATCATTCTTAGAACATGAACGACTGGGTGCCCATCGCCAAGGAGTATGATCCGCTCAAAGCTGGCAGCATCGACGGCACGGATGAAGACCCACACGATCGGGCGGTCTGGCGGGCGATGCTGGCACGATACGTCCCCAACAAAGGCGTCACAGGAGACCCCCTTCTCACCTTGTTTGTGGCAAGACTAAACTTGCAGACCAAAGAGGACAAATTAAAGGAAGTCTTTTCCCGCTATGGTGACATCCGGCGGCTTCGGCTGGTGAGGGACTTCGTCACCGGCTTTTCCAAGGGCTATGCCTTCATAGAGTACAAGGAGGAGCGTGCCGTGATCAAAGCCTACCGAGATGCAGACGGCCTGGTTATTGACCAGCATGAGATATTTGTGGACTATGAACTGGAAAGGACTCTCAAAGGGTGGATCCCTCGGCGACTTGGAGGCGGTCTGGGGGGGAAAAAGGAATCAGGGCAGCTGAGATTTGGGGGGCGGGATCGACCTTTCCGAAAACCTATTAATTTGCCAGTTGTTAAAAATGACCTTTATAGGGAGGGAAAAAGGGAAAGAAGGGAGAGATCTCGATCCCGAGAAAGACACTGGGACTCAAGGACAAGAGACAGAGACCACGACAGGGGCCGGGAGAAGAGGTGGCAAGAAAGAGAGCCCCCCAGGGTGTGGCCCGAAAATGATTGGGACAGAGAGAGGGACTTCAGAGAAGACAGGATCAAGGGGAGGGAGAAGAAGGATAGAAGCAAGTAGGGGAACAGACAGAACAACAGACCCCTAAGTGAAGATACAGCATAAGTAAAAGCGTTGGGTACTTGTCTTTATAAACAGAGTGAGTCTAATGGTTGAATAAAACTTACTGATGATAATGGGGTTTGGAATAGTTTTCTTTCCATTCTAGAACCTAGTTCAGCCTGATGTTATCAATTTATCATCTTCATCGCAGAGTTCTAAGGATGTGCTATTTAATGGGATCAAGAAACAATTTTGTAGTTGCTGATACCTATCTATACAGAAAGGCCTATGTAAGGAGCCACCACTCTCGTTGAACTTGGCAGTAGACAATTTGATTTCCTCCCATTAGAAATGATCATTGTGAATGCGTGGCAAAAAGAGGTGGTGACCTAATCACACTAATCTGTGATGCCTAGGGGGAACCCTAATCAGAATAAGTTGTATCTTATGGGTCTTCATATCTGTAACCCAAGGGTTTGCTGAATTGAGATAAAAATGGGATAGAAAAGTGAATCCAAGAATGCACAGAGAGGCCGGGCGTGGTGGCTCATGCCTGTAATCCTAGCACTCTAGGAGGCCGAGGCGGGCGGATTGGTAGAGGTCAGGAGTTCGAAACCAGCCTGAGCAAGAGTGAGACCCCATCTCTACTATAAATAGAAATTAATTGGCCAACTAATATATATAGAAAAAAATTAGCTGGGCATGGTGGCGCATGCCTGTAGTCCCAGCTACTCGGGAGGCTGAGGCAGCAGGATCGCTTGAGCCCAGGAGTTCGAGGTTGCTGTGAGCTAGGCTGACGCCACGGCACTCACTCTAGCCTGGGCAATAAAGTGAGACTGTCTCAAAAAAAAAAAGAATGTACAGAGACTTACTACCAGAGGCCAGCCTGCAAACCTGGGTCGGCCACCAGCTACTCTGGAACAAATGTTAACTCCACTCTTGCTTGAAATGCTGACTCTCTTTTTTCTTTCTCTGGCTGGCAGAGAAAGTTTTAAAATTAAAAAACAAAGTTGCAGGGCTGTGATCTGTGGTAGTTGTCCAGCCCTTTGAACAGGCAGAGCTCAACAGAAGTGGGAGTGAAATGAAAATGAGGTATAAGGAGTGGTAGAATGCATGAGGGCACTGTGGCTACTTCTGACGGACTCGTTTTGCTTTTCCCTCTTGCTTATCTGGCCTCTGGTTTGGTCGAGGGCTCGATTGAGGGACCTTAACTTCTGAGGACTTTGAATAAGTACCATACTGTTCAAAAAAGTAACATTTAGCTTTTCTTATCAATGGCTGTATCTCTGAAAGTTAACATTCTTAATGTTCATGATGTTTCAGGCAAAATAAATAAATCTAGTCAAGACTCCCACAGTTAGGTTTTTGCATACAAGTATGAATCTCATGGTGTTACTCAGGGAACTGAACCAACCTGCTGTGTCTTCAAAGTACCATCAGATATTAGAACAGTTCTGGAAAAATATGCCCTTTCCTTTGCACATGTCCAGTACAGAATTTTAGTATCTCCCAATTCTCGGAAAACAGCCTTGTAGGAATAACACCTTTCTGATTTCACCCACATTTCACTTACAAAGTGTTCCCTATTGTGGCACCAGAAGTGTGTCAGGGGTCAGAGCTGGCAGGTTCTTGAGCTAAACAAGACTGCCCTGCATCAGGGAAGCGCTGTGAGATACCATCGGGAGAAAAAAGCAAACCCACTTCAGTATGTACGTAGTGAGCTCAGAACGTGGATGGACTTTAAAAATGCTTTCTCGGATCTCAACTCTGTACATTCGGGCTACCGGTGTTATGTGGGCTCTGTTAACTTTGAAAGAAAAAAAATGGTGCAGCTTCCATGACAGGGACTTTGGCAGTAGCCATCAACATGACAAAGGCATGTACCTTCTGACCTAGCAACTCCGCTTCTAGTTTATTCTGTAGATCGCTGCATGTGTATGAAAGTGCAACACTGTTTTTGAGGGTAAGGAATTTGGAAGGAAGCTACCTGTTTATCAGTGGGGCCTGGCTGGACATTAATAAATTATGCATCTGTACAACAGACCAGGGTTCCTCAGCCTGAGCACCGTTGACATTTGGGACTGGTTGTGGAACTCACTCTTGGTTGTGGGGACTGGGCATTTTAGGATGTTTAGCAGCACTATCCTTGGTCTTTGACCAGTAGATGACAGTAGGCCCCCTCTTCCCCTTTAGTTGGACAAGGAAAAATGTCTACAGACATTGCCAAATGTCCCCTGGGGGCGCAGTCAGCCCTGGTTGAGAACCACTGTTTCATGTACAGATTATGCTGCCATTTATGTAAAAAAAAAAAGTTATACACACACACATATATATGTATACATATATATGTGTGTGTGTTTAATGTAATTGCCATGTGTAAACTTCCAGGAAAGATACCCAAGAACTTGGCAACAGTGGTTACCTCTTGGGAGGGCAACTAAAAGTTTCAGTGGTGGGAGGATTCCTCAGTATACCTGCTTGTAGATTCTTTGAGAATAAATTCTAATACTTCTAATGGGCAGTCAGGTTTGAGAACCACTACTATAATAAAGCAACAATGTTATCCTGTCTGATCATTTTTTTCAGCAATCTGGAAACAGTCTGTTCTAGATTCTGAAACCTGCCCCCCCCCCTCAACTGTGGCAGATTGTGCAGAATGCAGCCCTATCCGTCAGACATACTTGAGTGCTGTTAGGAGGTGTTACCTTTCTCAATCTGTGAGCACCCAGCCCTGCACCCTGGGTGCTCCTCAGGTGGAGAGAAAGACAGTGTTACTCAGGCAAGTCTCCAACTCACCACCTACAGTCAGGGCATCTGGCTCTCTGCGGCTGCAGCCCTTTGAGTCAGCCAGATGTGTGGTCCCCAAGCCATCTTCCTACTTAGCACCCTCGCTCTGCTCAGTCTCCCCCACCCGCCATCCTGCGTCGCCGAGGCTCTCATACCCCGTGCCCAATGTGCTTTGGGATATTTGTCTTCTTTGAAGGGGACTAAGGGTTTGACATAGTGAATGATACAAGAGAAAAAAAAAATGCACACAAGAAATGTTGCAGTGTCTCATCCTTAGCAACTTTGTTAGGTTAGTACTGCATCACTCAAGCAGATTCCAAGGCACACTGCCTTGGACATTGCTACATGCTCTAGGCATTATCCGAGGAGTTTTCCCAAACCAAGGGCTCTTGCAAAGTTGTCTCCGTTCCCTGGGTGGGAGGACTGTCACCCATACTTTCTGTTGCTTTCTTTGTGTCTGAGTTGGGCCAGCAGCTCATCCTGTGTCTTCAGAGGCCCTGCCTGCCCAATCGATACCGTCTATATAATTTGCTACTGCCATCACAATTCCATGAACGTAACTAATGAAAAGCTACCCCTTCCCTGCCTTCCACGGAAATATGTCAAATGTGATAATAAAACCTCTACACATAGAATTTTATACAAAGCCAGTCAAATAGCAATTTACAGTGGCAAGTGATGTATTTGGCTTGAAGAAGCTTGTCTTACTGAAGTTAATGCAAAAGTCTGGCCTCAGTACATGGGATTATTAAATATATATCCTAAGGGATCAGAGTCATCTATTATAAACGGTGATAACCCTGGGTATAAATAAACATTTCTTTAGAGTTTGGCATCAGTTTTTCAACATCCATCCTCAAAGCAGACAGTCTGTTTGAGGGGTCAGTTTCGAGGGTGCAACTGCACCGAGAGGTGTGAGGCAGCGTCCCCTGGGCTGCAGGTTCAGCTGCAGGTGCTGGCAGTAGACAGTCCAGGTCGGAGTGTGGAGACCAAGGTCACAGGTGCTGCAGGGCTTCCTGTCCTTGTTCTGTGTAGCCATCATCGCGGTGGGGGTTGGCCCACTGTCCAAAGGACTCCTGGATGTGCGTGTTTCTCTGTGTGTTGGCCACGCGCCTCTTATCTCGGGAGAAGAAGCTAAACCTTTTGGAAGGGAAAGCAGAGACAGAAATGAGAGCCGACCCATCGCTGTGCATGTCACATTTTTTGCAATGCCGGGGACATACAGCAGCCAACTTGGAAGGGAGCAAACCAGTGCGTGAAAGAAATTTGGGGCGTTAAGGTCAAAGTTATTCTAAGGAAGCAGCGGGGGATTCTGCATGTCATTTGGTCACGGCACCTTGGAGGTCACACAGTGTGGGCAAGGCATGCACTTAGGTGATGTGTGGCATGTCTTCTGCCTTCGCCACTGTGGGGGTCCTTCCCATTACCAGTGGAAATAAGAAGCTCCTGGAAACAAAGCCTGGGTTTCTTTAATTACCCTAGTGATGCGGAGAAAGGGATACTGAGAGCCATGTGGAATGTAAGATGGTTCTGATGGAAGCAGTTGAGTATTTCCAGTTTAAATAGTTATGTGTTTATTTAATGTCAGTCAGGAAACCATGGCCCAGATTTCACGGACATGACTGCTTAGGAGGAGGCTAAAGTAAGTATTTAAGTAAAATAAGACAATTAAAAAATATATTACGTAAATCGCAGTACACATGGTTCTCTGATTAGATAAACATTGTGAATATAATATGCGAATGAAATCTGGGAAACAATATGGACCTTCAAACATGGATTTAATGGCGAAAGCCTGTGGAATACATCGCTTTAACTAGCTATACAGCAACAGCTACTATAGCCCAAGAGGTCTTTTTTTGTCTGACTGTGCTCAGGCAGTGTTCAGGCTGGTGTCGAACCCCTGAAGCAGCAGCTATCTGCCCGCCTCGGCCTCCCAGAAAGCTAGGACGACAGGCATGAGCCACCGCGCCCGGCCGCAAGAGGTCTTTTTAAAACAGCTGTGACTCGTGTATTGCTCAGAGGGGAACCGCCAGATGCCTGTAAGATAAAGGCAGAAGTCACAAGCAAAAAGCTTGCAAAGTGGCTTATTTAAAACAAGGTCTACTTTGAGATCACATAAACAGAGATTAGGACCCTGGCTGGTGAACTTGAAGTTGGCCCACCTGAGGATTTCCCAAAATCTCTTTCTAAGCTGCCATCTAGCCTTTAATACTACCAGGCTTTCATAAGTTTTCTTCTATTGTCACCAAGTTCTTCTTACTCTTGGAATTTTGGCTCTGAACTTGGTAAGAGATATAATATAATCACTATGTTCTGTTTCCTGGGGCGCAAGAATAGGAGTGAAGCCACTGAGAAATCAAAGCTTCAGATACACTATTTTTGGTTCCCTCTGTCCATTTGCTTGTTAACATCTTTTAGTGCCGTAGCCTACGGAGTTTAGTCTGAATCGCATCTGGGTGACAATGATTTTACTCTCCTGGGTTACTGGATCCGACAATCACTTTCTACCAGGAATAAAGTGTTCCTTCATCATCAGCCCAAGGCAAGCCCCGTTTACCTGCTGAGACTGTCCTTAGCAACTAACGTGTCTTTTCTCTATGGCGTGTGCGTCCTAGCGAACGAAGGCGCGGCTATCGTACTGGGCTATCTGTGAGCTCTTTCCATAGGGAAACTGGGGCAGTTAGCCGGCCAGCAGTACAGCAGCAGCACATCGCTGTTAGGCCTCTGCCTGACTCAGGTAAGCAGGAGAGCCACTCAGCACTTCCCCCACAGACAGCATCGAGACACTGGTCCCCTCCTATGATTTTCTTTCTTTAACCAGATCAAATGGCCAAGGGCTTGGCAGAACAAAGCAGTTTAGAAAGCTCCGGCGTGAAGACGAAAAACATGGTGTTAGTGTCACTCGGGGACCGCAGTGGGCGTTGATTACTGACCCGTCACTTAAAGGACCTTCTTTACTGGATCATGGGCAAGGTGGTTTTAGAACAGAAACAGAAGAGACAAAAAGAATTATCGGTGACACAGCTGAGAATTCCGAGGTGTTGCTCGTGCAGACCGAGCGCAATGAGTGGCATGTTTGAAAATCACACCTGACCCCCACTTCACATGGGGACAAGCAGGTGGCGGCCATGCAGCTAAAGTGGCCAGAGGAGACAGGCCAGCCCCAGCAGCAGCCGTAGCAGACATTCCAAAGGCACAACCCAAACAAAACCCAACACACACACACACACACACAGTGCCTACAAGGGAAACAAGTCGTCGGGCAGGCTGCAGGGTGGGGTCATCTATTATCAGTCCAGCAGCTACCATGGGCATTATGGCGGTAAAGATCCTGGTTCGGAAAGTACAGATAGACACAGAGAAGATAAAAACGGGAGGCATGAAAGAGAAACGGTCCACAGACAGAGCAGCTGAGGGGTTCACTTGTGGCATATGTTGTGGGGTGAATTGTGTCCCTTGCCTCCAAAGTCATACTTTGAAGCCCTAACCCCTAGTACCTCGGAAGGTGGGGTCCTTACAGCTGTAACTATTTAAAACGAGGTTACACTGGAGTAGGGTGAGTCCTAATCCACATGCCTGGTGTCCTTATAAAAGGGGGAGATTTGAACAGAGATATGCACACGGGGAGGCCACGTGAAGATGGAGGCAGATAATAGCAGGATGCCTCCAGGTCAAGGGACACCAAAGACTGCCAGCCCGCCACCAGGAAAGGGGCCTGGGACAGATCCTTCCTCACGGCCTCAGAAGGAAGTGACCGTGCTGACACCTTGATCTCGGACTTCTGGCCTCCAGAACAGTGGGATGGCGCATTCTGTTGTCTCAGCACCCCCGCCTGCGGGACTTTACTATAGCAGCCCTAGCAAATGATACAGTATGCAATGGCCACCGAGGGACAGCAGGGTGGCTCCCAGGGGCTGAAAACGCAGGCGTGGCTGTGGGAAGGAAGGAATCCAAACACGCTTTGGGAGGCCGTGTGGACACCCGTGCCAGGGGCCGTACGCACTTAGTTCCCCAGCCGCCATGAGCTGCAGGCCCCAAGTCCCCAAGACAGCGGGGTGAGACCCAGGAGCGAATATGAGAAGCGTGAGGCAGAGAGAACTAAAACAGAGAGCCAGCATGGTCGTCTAGGACGCTTCCTCAGCCTTCTGGACAGGTCTGAGCCAACAGTGAATGCTTGTTGTGCCTCGGCTGGGCAGGGGAAATGAAGGCGAAATTCCCACCAAGCCACCAGAGCTTATTTTGAAAAGCTATGATTTTTTTTTTTTTTTAAAGGTTGGCTAGGAAAAGATATAATTGTCTCAAATGAGGTTTAGGAATTCTCTGGGTGTTTGGATCACTTTTTTTTTTTTTTTTTTTTTTTTTGAGACATGGCCTTGCTCTGTTGCTCAGGCTAGAGTGCAGTGGTGTCATCATAGCTCATTGCAACCTCAAACTCCTGGGCTCAAGTGAGCCTCCTGCCTCAGCCTCCCAAGTAGCTGGGATTACAGGTACATGCTACTGTGCCCAGCCTAAAGTTTTTAATTTCTTAGAGACAATGTCTCACTATGTTGCCCAGGCTGGTCTCTGAAACTCCTGGCCTCAAGAGATCCTCCTGCCTCAGCCACTCAAAGTGCTGGGATTACAGGTGTGAGCCACTGCGCCTGGCCTGGATCACCGAGAGGTGGCATCTTTGCAGGAACCCCCGATGGTTTCTCAGGATGACAGGGAGAAGGTGGAATACCTTTTGCTAAGTGAATGGGCCCATCCCCAGAGGCCAGGCTACTGGCACAGTTAGCTTTCCAGGAGCTCCCAGCCACACCATTTTGCACCCACCTTTGCCAGGACACCCAAACACAACACCCATGAAGGTATGGTCATTGCGAGGGAGGTGGCCCCAGACACAGGGTGGATTTCTTTCCTGGAAAGATGTCTGCCCACTTGGGAATGCTAGACTTCATCTGGGGATGAGACAGGGCTGAGATGGACACAGGGCCCAGGAACACCTGGAATGTTCCAGCCAAGTTGCTGTCTGCATGTCTCGCTAGGCTCACTGCGTGGGCTGTCCCCTTCCCTCGCTGTTGCAGGTGCCGCCCTGCAGAAGCTGCCTACCCTGGAGGGACAGCCATTTCCATGAAAAGACTGACTTGTTTTGCCAAAAGTTTATGTCGTGGATACACTGTAGCTGGTTTTAATCCCTCCCCTCCGCCGATTATTCCTGGAGACTGAAACCAAAGGAAGTTCTAACAGTGGCATTTCAGGCAATGTAACAGGTGGCTGTGAAGAAGCTATTCCTGGGCTGAAGCGAGGGATGTGGGTTGTAGGAGGACAGGGACAGAATGCACGGTCCACTCGTCACCTGAGTGGCTGCCTACTCCAAAGCCAACCTTTCCAGTTTTCGAGGCCAGTTCTGACCTGTGCTTTCCCCGGCCGTCCCTCTGTACCCGCTGCCTGCATTCCTGTCTCTGATCAGCCCCTTGCCCCTGGCCGGCGGAAAGCAGCTGTGTGCGTCTGTTGGAATCACGACCGCGTGACGGGGACCACATGAAGGGGGGCGCTGGTGCCTGGCATTCACTGGGAGCAAGGCTGAGCTCGCTCCGGCACTCCCTCGTGACCTTCCCGGGCAGTGCCAGCCGGTCCTCTCGGGCCAGCAGCTGCTCAATCACAAGCTATTCTTGGACCATCTTCTGGGCACACTGTTTCCACTGGCAGCGGGGGTTTCTGGTTCCCTTGTCGAGTTCAGCCCAGAAATGTGGAGTCTGACGACTCTGACTCATGGTGTGTTGGAGAGATGCGGGGCCGGGCAGTCAGCCCACAGTTGGGTCCGGAGGGAGTGTCATGAGGAAGCAGGGGTGGGATGGGGGGCGGCCAAGGCGAGAGGATCCCTTGAGCCCAGGTGTTCGAGACCAGCCTGGGCAACATAGTGAGACCCCATCTTTAAAAAAAAATTTTAAACTTAGCCAGGTATGGTAGCACGCACCTATAGTCCCAGCTACCTGGGAGGGTGAGGCAGGAAGACTGCTTAAGCCCAGGAATTTGGGGTTGCTGTGAGCTATGACTATACCACTGCTCTTCAGCCTGGGCAACAAAGTAAGACTCTGTCTCAAAAAAAATAATAATCATAATCAAAATATAAAATGGAAAAAAAGAAAAAATGAAAATAAAAATAAAAAATAGAAAAAAGAAAATAAAAAAGAGGAAAACAAAAAAAATTTTTTTAATTAAAAAAAAAAAAAGTCAATGGGGTGCTCCAGGCCTCAGTTTCATCATCTGAGGAATGGGGATAATTGTCCTAGCTCTGGGTCTCTGACAGGGTGGCAGACACCTCGGTCCAAGTGCTCTAAGCTGGTGAAGCCCCTTCAAGCGTCCTATGTGGTTACTCAGTGCTGCAGCAGGAGGGGCGGGGGAGAAACCGGTCGAGGCCATGGCGCTGAGCTGGAAAGTAGCCGTGAGCTGCACTAAACAGACTGCAGCACAGCAGAGACCAGACAGACCCAGAGAGGTGCGAGAGAGAAGGAAGGAAGGGGGGAAGGGCTAAGAACCATCTGAACAACTGTCACCTCCCTACCCTGCCCTGGCCCAGGGAAGGTCTGTGCCTGCCCAGGCTCCTCCCAGCCTCTGGGCTCGCAGGCCGCACGGATGCAGCTCCCAGCCAGCAGGCGAGGTGGACAAAGGCAACCAGTGTCCTGCCTGTGCTGGTCAAAAGCCTTTTGTGCCACTTTGCTCTCCCAGTTACATCCCCGAGAAGGCCGGGCTGTCCTGGGCCTGGCCGCCTGCACCCGTGGACCGGAGGTCCTGGTCTCGCTCGCTCTCCTGTCTCTCTCCTGTCTCTCTCTTTCTCTTTGTCTCTCTCTTGGGCTCCCTGATCCCAGCTGCTTCCCTGCCAGGCTCAGAGGCCCAGGTCTTGCTGAGCAACCAGAAACTAACCTAAAGGAAGGGGGAAAGCTCTGCAAATGGGGCCCCAGGGTCCTTTCTGGAACAATCTGGGGAAGAAGGGTGGACAGCACAGCCTATTCAGGTGTGGACAGAAGAACTAGCGGAAAGATTTGCTGGCTACTTCTGAGAACTTCCCTCTGGATTTCACCCAATATGAGATTTGCAAAAGCTAACTCTTAATTATCTATTTAGAAAAACGGGGCTGGGGGGAGAAAATTATAGTCAGAAAGACTTGGCTTTGGAAGGAATTTTTAGGATTACAAATGACCGTGGGTGCTGGAGGCTTTGTAAATTGGACACACTTGAAGGGAAGATGCTAGCAAGTTTGATCCTAAAGACCCGGGAGCCGCAGCTGTGGCGACATGCAAGCTGGACCCCGCTCATGCTCACACAGGAGTGGGCTGGCGGGCGGGCCAGAGTTTAGGCAAAGCCAATTTCGTTTCTTCCCAGGCAGCTGATGAGAAACTGTAGCCAAGGATGAGAGTCTTCCCGGGTACCAAGTTCTGCCACAGGATCAAAACTGAAGGCTTCCTCGCCCCCACGATGAGGCTACCGTGGCTATCCCATATTTCTGTCTTTCTAGCGCTCCAATCTTGCTCGGGGACCTGCCTTTCCCCTAATTCAGTCCCCATGAACTAGACGAAGTCTGAACTAATCTAAGCTTCAGGGGTGAGAAGGAAATGCAGACCTGGACATCAATGTGCTGCCCTGGGATTGGTTTAGGGACGGCCACATGACCCAGTGAGAGCCAATGGGACTCGGCTCTGTGACTTTTGTGGAACTCTCGGGAGGAGGGAACCTGACCTGGAGACCCAGGCAGAGGGAAACAGGACCTGAGCCGAGTGCTGCACTCTGTCATCCTCAGTGTGCCCAAGAACGCAGCCCACAGAGAGGAAAACTACGTCAGGGGTGGAGGAAACGGCCTGGACCCCCAGCTGAGCCCCAAAGCCGGAGCAACCTGGGAATTTTTGGTATCAAACTCCTGGCCTCAAGTGATCTTCCTTCCTCGGCCTCCCAGAGCGCTGGGATTACAGGTGTGAGCCACCGTGCCCAGACTGGAATTTTTGGTTACTTAGCCAAACTCTTTTCGAGTTACTTTGAGTTTCAATTGCAAACGGAAGATTACCAACCACTCCATGGTCAGAATGGTGTTGGGACCCAGCAGAAGCTTTTCTGGTTCCGTATCATGCCTAGGAAGTATCTATCTTTAACAGAACTGGGCCCATACTCCCTGCCCAGTCCAGCAGGGATCTGGGGGCAAGCTAATAAGCAACTTGAATACAGCTGGCAAGAGGCTTGGAGGGGAGCCACGCGTCGACCCACCCACTGTGGGAAGCTGTCATCCATTCCCACAGCCACCAGGGCCCAGAATTTGAACAGGACACCATTTTCTGAGAGGAGAGGGCCCAGCAGTTACACCTACACACACTCTGCACTGAGTCAACTCACAGGGCAAGAACCAGCTAAGAATTTCCGAACATAACTGGATTTTAAAGGTTGGGGCATGCACGGGTGACACTCCACACAACACTCCTGGCTTTCTGACCCGTGCCCCCTGCTTTCACGAAGCTTCTGCTGGGTTTAAGGGAAGAACGGAGGCCTCTTTCGTAATAAGCGTTAGGTAGAACTGGAAGGCTCAGAGCAGGAAGACCCTCACAGAGATCTCAAGGCTAAAACACTGTAGGTAAGGCCGGGCGCGGTGGCTCACGCCTGTAATCCTGCACTCTGGGAGGCCGAGGCAGGCAGAGTGACTGCTTAGGTCAGAGTTGAGGACCAGCTGAGCTAAGAGGCGAAGACCCCGTCTCTTACTAAAAATGAAAGAAATAATTGGCCAACTAACTACTATATAGAAAAAATTAGCCGGGCATGGTGGCGCATGCCTGTAGTCCCAGCTACTGGGGAGGCTGAGGCAGAAGGATTGCTTGAGCCTAGGAGTCTGAGGTGGCTGTGAGCTAGGCTGATGCCACGGCACTCTAGTCAGGCAACAGAGCCAGACTCTGTCTCAAAACAAAACAAAACAACACCACCCTACACATGTGGGCTCTGGGGCCAGGCTGCCCCAGTTTGAACCCGGGCTCTGCCTCTTATTAGCTATATGATCCTAGACAGGTGCCTCAGTTTCTTTATAAAATGGGATAACAATACCTCCAGCTCAAAACACTATGGTGGGCCGGGTGTGGTGGCTCACACCTGTAATCCTAGCACTCTGGGAGGCCGAGGCAGAGGATTGCTCAAGGTCAGGAGTTCGAAACCAGCCTGAGCGAGACTCCGTCTCTACTAAAAATAGAAAGAAATTAATTGACCAACTAAAAATATATACACAAAAAATCAGCCAGGCATGGTGGCGCATGCCTGTAGTCCTAGCTACTCGCGAGCGCTGGAGGCAGGAGGATCGCTCGAGCCAGGAGATTGAGGTTGCTATGACCTAGGCTGACTGCCATGGTCACTCACTGTCTAGCCCTGGGCAACAAAGTGAGACTCTGTATCTAAAAAAACAAAAAAACAAAAAAACCAAAACAACACTTATGGTGGTCCAGGGGGCGGCTGGCTCACACCCTGTAAATCCTAGGATTCTGGGAGGCCCTGAGGCAAAGGATTGCCTCCAGAGTCAGGAGTTGCGCAAACCAGCCTGAGCAGAGACGAGACCCCGTCTCTACTAAAAATAGAAAGAAATTAATTGACCACTAAAAATATATATATAAACGAAATCATCGCGGCATGGTGGCGCATGCCTGTATCCCAGCTACTGGGTGGCGGCTGAAGCAGTAGGATCACTTGAGCCAGGAGTGTTCGAGGTTTGCTGTGAGGCTAGCTGATGGCCCATGGCACTGCACTCTACGGCCCTGGCAACAAAGTGGAACACTCTGTCTCAAAAATAAAAAAAAAACAACAACACTATGGTGAGGATGCAACAAAATAATCTGTCGGCATGGTACCCTCCAGCACATAGTGGGTTCTTAGTAGATACCGGCTATCTAACTAGACCAGAGTTGTTTTTGTTTCTCTTTTGGATCAGCAGTCCTCACTCTGTTGCCCAGGCTAGAGTGACGTGGCCATGGCAATCAGCCCCTAGCTCAAGCAGACAACCTCAGATCTCCTGGGGCCTCAAAGTGATCCCTCCTGACTCAGCCTCCGCAGTAGCTGGGACTAGCAGGCGATGCGCCACCAACTGCTGGCTAAGTTAGACCAGAGGTTTGAGCCCTTTATATGAAGGGCTTCAGGGATCTATGAACCTCCTGCAACTGTACATACATTTTGCAAATCTTTTTTTTCCAGGGAGAGGGTCTGTGACCCTTCATCAGAGTCTCAACAGGCATCTGCTGATGCCAAGAACCACCGAAGGGGTTTCAAGTCCCAGTTGAGGGGCAAAGACGAAGACATGGCCGCTGTCTTTTTGGGTGTCCCCTGCGGCAACCAGGGCCTGACTGCACGTACTATGCACCAGGCAGTACTTAATGGATAGACAGAGGGCTAAACGGATGAAGCCTCAGAGAAATGCACAGATGGCGTGGACCCAGGGCCATTCCAGGCATCTCAGAGTTGGGGTTCTAAGCCCTTAAGATGCACAAACCCCCCACCTGCCCAGCCTCATGGGCTGTCCTCAAAGCCCAGAGACACACCCTGCCCCACCTGACACACTCAAGCATGCTCCTCAGCGTCAGCATCAGCCCCAGCCTCTCCCCCAGCCCCCACCTGCCCACACCTCTCTGCCCAGACACCCCCGGGAGGAACTCGGCATTCAGGAAGGGAGACGAACTCAAAGTCCGGGTCCAGGACAAACGTGCTCCGGGGTTAAGCACGTCTCAGCAGGACATGGTTAGTGACAAGCCTGGCCCTGGGAGCAGGTGCCTAGGAGGAGAAGTCAGAGGACAAGTGAACCGCCAGGTCAGCCGCGTGAGGAGCAGCCCAACACGCCGAAGCGCATCACTTACAGTCGCTTGATGCCAGACTCTGGCTGGGGGGACGTTCTTGGGTATGCAATGGGTGGGGGCTGGGGTATCCGATTTTCCTCTTCCATTTCTTCACTGGAAGGAGATAAGAGGCATGATATTTAAAAAGTCAAAAAATTCCATGAGAACTAGAACATTCCAGAAGAGTACTGTCTGACGGGGCCTGCATTTTCAGTTTATTCTGAAGAGTCCAGCCAAACAGAACCACTCCCCGTTTCCTGTCCTTAAAAATGCTTCTTTGTCTCTACTCTTTTGTGGTTTCTTCTACCCAGAATATTCCACCCACCCCTCAACATCTCTCATACCTAAATACTACCCTATCTTTTTGGGAAAGCCCAGTTCAAATGCCCCCTCCTCCAGGAAGCCTTCCTGATTTCTACCCCATCTCCAAGCCAGAAGTGATCTCTCCCATCTTTGAACATCCAGTGCACAATCAGTTAAGTTTTTTTTCTTAGAGATAGGGCCTGGAATACAGTGGTGTGATCACAGCTCACTACAGCCTTGAACTCCTGGGCTCAAGTGATTCTCCTGCTTCAGCCTCCTAAGTAGCTTGGACTACAGGCGTGAGCCACCATGCCCAGCTAATTATTTCATTTTATTTTTCTGTAGACACATGGCCTTTTTATGTTGCCCAGGCTTGTCTTGAACTCCTGGCCTCAAGCAATCCTCCTACCTCAGCCTCCCAAAGTACTGGGATTCCAGGTGTGAACCACTGTGCTCAGCCCCAAAAACCTGTGCCAGGTACACAAGTGGGTTACAATGAAAATGTGCAGTATTTATTCCTGATGCATGTGTGTTAAAGAAGAAAAGAAGAAGGAAAAAAAAGAAGAAATAAAAATATAAAAAAGGCCAGGTGTGGTGGCTCACTCCTGTAATCCTAGCACTCTGGGAGGCTGAGGCGGGCAGATTGCTCCAGGTCAGGAGTTCAAAACCAGCCTGAGCAAGAGCGAGACCCCATCTCTATTATAAATAGAAAGAAATTAATTGGCCAACTAATATATATAGAAAAAATTAGCCAGGCATGGTGGCACATGCCTGTAGTCCTAGCTACTTGGGAGGTTGAGGCAGGAGGACTGCTTGAGCCCAGGAGTTTGAGGTTGCTGAGAGCTAGGCTGACGCCACGGCACTCACTCTAGCCTGGGCAACAAAGCAAGACTCTGTCTAAAAAAAATAAATATATATATATATATATATAAGAGAAAATGTGTGGTATTGTATTTTCTGTGCATCTCTTATCTTCCCCACTGGAGTGGGGACCATATCTGGGGCATCTGTCCTTCCAGTTTTTCACTCAACAGATGTCTGCTGCACGCCTACTGTGTGCTAACCTCCACGTGCTGGGAGCTTAGCTATGAACAGGATGATAAGGCTCTGGGCGCATGTGGCCTACGGTCTGATGTGGATGCAGACAATAAGACAGGCGCGTTCATTAAGAGGATGATGTAGGGAGGTAAAAGGGCCAACAAAGGAAAACCGGGTAAAATGAAAAAGTGACTGGCACAGGGTCCCCTCTGGACAGAGGGTGATGGGGAAAGTCCTCTCTGACATTTGACCTGATCCCTGAATGACACAGTCCGCGCCGATGTGTCATGTTCCTTCTAACGGCTGAAAAGTTCTGGTTTCTAAAACGCCTCTGGGCCCAGGAGTTTCAGAAAGAGACTGTGAGCCCAGTGCTGCGGGCCGCAGCGGTACCCAGAAAGGGCGCAGGCGAAGTGCCTGTCTTCCAGGAGGTAGCTGCAGCAACAGTCAGAGGAGCCAGCCCGGCCGGCCCAGGCCCACTCACCTCTTGTAGTAGGCCAGCTCCTCCTGCAGCAGGAACACCTTGGACTTGAGCTCGTTCCTCTCGTGCAGCACGTCCCGCAGCTCCTGCAGGGTGAACCGGGGGCGGTTGGGGTCCTTGAGATCCAGGGCCACCTTCTCCGCGTCTGAGACGCACTCCTCGCCAACTGGCTCCATCTGGAAGAGGCGGAGATGCCGCTAATGAATTCCTGGCAGCCACCAGCGGCACCCACTCTGTATCCTCATGGAGCCCGAATTTCCCACCTCCTGGGGTGTGAGCAGCCTGCCGAGGGTGCTATTTTAAGCACTCGCGGGCGGCCTCTGCTCACGTTCTGTACACTTTCGCTCTGGGGGTGGAAGCCCGCGGCCACCTGTTCATTGTTCGCCTTCTCAATAGCCGGACCACGGTCCCGCCACCTCCCCACCCGCCGAGGGGTTTTGCTATCAACGTTAGAAGGCATCCAGAGAGCAGAAACATCTGATACCGTCACCCGCACAAATCTGCCGGCTTTCACCTCCCAGCTTCTCCGCGTGTATCCTAAGACCATTGCTAATCTGGCCAGAGTGGCTGGAATCAGCCTGCACGCAATTCTGGATTCCTTTTTCATGTGACATTAAGCCATACACGTTCTTCCATCTGTGCCAGGCCTTCTGGTGAGCCTCTCCTCGCGGCTCAGGGCATCTTGACTCTGGAGATCGGCGGGAGCCTGGCGGGGGTGCACTTGGGCATTTCTCCTCAATGAGGGTGACACAGGTGGACCCCAGCGTCATGCTAAGTCACCTGCCCCAGGTCAGAGCTACACCCATCCTCCCACCTTCCATAGCAATGGAGCCTTTAAAGAAAACTGTGGTGAAATACACATAACATTTGAACCTTTTAAAAGCATGCAATTCTCTGGCATTTAGTATGTTCACAATGTTATGCAACCACCTCCTCTTATCTAGTTCCAGAACATTTTCATGTTTTCGAGGTTCATCCATGTGGTGACACAAATCAGTATTTCATTCCTTTTTATGGCTGAATACTATTCCACTCTACGGATACAGCACATTTTCTTTACCTATTCTTCATTTGTGGCCATTTGGATTGTTTCTACCTTTTGGCTATTGTGGATAGCCATGCCAAGAACCGTGTTTGTTCCGACACTTGTTTTCAATTCTTTTGGATGTACACCTAGAAGTGGAATTGCTGGGTCATATGGTGATTCTATGTTTAACTTTTTGAGGAGTTGTCAAACTGTTTTCCACAGTGGCTGCACTATTTTACGTTCCCACCAGCAATGCAGGAGGGTTCCAATTTCTCTACATTCTCGCCAACATTTATTTCCCATTTTTTTGGACAGCAGGGATGTCTTTGCAAGCTGCTTCCAGTTCAGCTGGCCAAATCTACAGGTGGCCCACACTCTCAAGATAGTGCCATGTCCCCGACACCTCTGAGCCACAATGTCCTGTGATCAGCCAGGGCAGACAGAGGTTAGGTCGGCAGTAGAAAAGCTCCAGAACAGGCAAATGGGAGATGGAAACAGACTCCCCACCCCAGGCCCCCAAGAAAAAGCTCACAGTGGCACAGGAAGAAGGGGACTCACTCCAGTGTGGATGGTGCCACAGGGCCAGGAGGCCAAAGGACTCCAGGAGGCAGAACTGAGATGCTTCACATCCTGGGAGACTAGTACAGGCTGTTCTGGGAAAGGACACTTGAAAGGAGACACCACCCACGTGGCAGATCAGGTGACAGAGCAGCACGAGGCAGGCCTGAGTGGGGGGAGCCGTCTGACCCTGCCCGGTCAGCACTGAGCCGCAGCAGCAGGAGGGGGGGGAGCTCGAGGCCGCAAGAAACTGAAGCCGCAACGCACCACCCCCGCGAGCTGCTTGGGCAGCTGAGTGGGGCCTCTTCCCACGTAAGAACTCGGGAGAAAATGTTGGAGGATTTAATTTCCCAAGAAAGTATTCTCAGCGTCTGCTGATGCCACAACTGCAGGTGGGCTGTGTCCTCAGGGGACATCTTCAGTGTCCGGCTTTCTCTGCAGGGCCTCCACGGCAGTCCTTGAACCACCCGGCAGCTGCGTACTGGGTGTTCTGTACCCAAGACCACATACAGCAAGTGACTGATAAACAGCGGGCATGCAATAATGGGCATGCAGTTCCTCCTCTTCCCCTGCCCAGGTTCACCAAGAAGCAACCTTGGGGGTCTAATATTTATCCAGCATTTATTGAGCATTCACTCTGTGCCCCACTGGTTGCTGAGCTCGGTCCTCGGAACAGAACCAAACATAAGGATGAAGAGAAGATACAAATAGACGCTTATAAGGTCACATAATCAAAGAGATGCAGGAACATCAACTCCAACTGGAGAGAACCAGGGGAGATGTTGCTCAGGTGTGGTCTCTGTGTATGGGGTCTTGACGAATGTGTAGGAGTTCGCCAGGAACTCCGGGCATTAGTCATAGAGACCAGAGGTTGCAAACTAGGTCCTCAGACCACACCAGCTCCCTTGGCCCCACACTTTGGTCCTCACCGTGTCCTAAAACTCTACTGGCAGATTGGGCCACCCTGGGCCCACGTTCCCCTATGGCAGTGACTGCAGGGCCACGGACAGCCTGGGATTGGCCTGTGTAGACTGAGAGGGGCCAAGAAGGCTGGTCCGGAGATAGCAATCGGGTCCCATGAGCAGCGGCCCTTCTAGGTTTACTGCATGAGACACCACAGGTGGCAGGGTTATCCCAGATAAGCCGGGGCCTTCCTCGGGTTGCTTGCTGGTCCCTGGGGGCACTCTGGGCGCCGCCTGAGGGAGACACCCTGAGGCCCCAGCTGCTTCCCAGGGAGGCCCAAGAGACCAGCTAACAAGCACTGGGACGCGTCCAGAGGCCTGAGGGTGGTGACATCATGGATCCAGGCCTATCCCGAGGCCTGGCCTCCTGGGAATGTTCCTTGCTGCCTGGGCGCATCGAAGCGGCCTCTGCTCCCACAGCCCCCGACCCAGCAGGGGGGACAGCTGTGCTCCGGTCACACTCGGCACCTGCTGCCCTACCGTGCAGGAATCCAGCCCGTGTTCACACCGACCTTACCTGGCAGCCCTCACACCTGTCTGCCTTCCCACACGGGCAGAACCCACTTTGTAAAAAAGACCTGCTGAGAAATCAGAACTCGTAAGGCAGAGGTATCTGGGAGATGGTTATTAATTTTACTGTTTTCCTACTGCGTTTATTTAAAGCCTTTTAGACAGGGAGCCCACTGCACTTTCTTTTTTTTTTTTTTTTTTTAGAAGGATCTTCACCTTTGTTGCCCAGGCTAGAGTGAGTGCCGTGGCGTCAGCCTAGCTCACAGCAACCTCAAACTCCTGGCCCAAGCAATCCTCCTGCCTCAGCTTCCCAAGTAGCTGGGACTAAAGGTATGCGCCACAAATTAGCATGCCCGGCTAATTTTTTCTATATATATATTAGTTAGCCAATTAATTTCTTTCTGTTTATAGTAGAGATGGGATCTCGCTCTTGCTCAGGATGGTATCGAACTCCTGGCCTCGAGCAATCCACCCACCTCGGCCTCCCAGAGTCGCTAGGATTACAGCGTGACACCGGCCCGCGTCCACCACTGCATTTTCTTAAGGATTTATATGTCTAATTGTGAAAGGCAGGAAAACTTCTGACTAAAATACGAGGAGCGGGAGGAACTAGAGAGTGTGCTGAGGGAAGCCGGCTGGACCACATGTCAGCACTGCGCCGGTACGAAACGTCCAGAACGGGCACATCACAGCCAGTGCCCTTGGGTGAGCGGACGTGACTGCTAATGAGTAGGGGATTCTTTCTGGGGCAGTAGAAATGTTCTAGGTAGTGGCGATGAGCACACAACTTAGTGAATAAGCTAAAAACCACTGAGCTGTGTACTTTAATGGCTGAATGGTATGGTGTATGAATTAGACCTTAATGAGGATGTTATAAAAATAGAGAACCCTGTCTACTGGAGATGACACTGAAAGGACAGTGCCAATGCTCAGAAGGGATCGTGGGGCAATGATGAGAAGATTCCTCTCTAGCTCTGGATCCCTCCCTAGCTCCCATCTCCCCCCCCGCCCCCCGCTGATTCCTGCCGTGGGATGAAACCCCCCCTGCCAGCCACTTGCTGCGTCTGCTCCTGTCTGGCTCTCGCTGTCCCCCTTTCTGGAACGGCCTGTGTCCTCATTACAACCCTGGACACCCTCCCCCTCCCACAGGACTGTCCAGATGCCGTCAAGCCCTGCCCTGCACCCACCCCTCCACCTGTCTCCAACCTCACAGTCCTGCACCCCAGCCGTGCTACCCAGTGAACCTCCTGAGTCAGGTCAAGGTCATTCCCCTCACTCATCAGACGAGGACACTGACCATCGAAGAGATGGACGGTCCCTGGCCACATAGTAGCCAGTGGTAAAGCCGCCACCACCACCTGCTGTCCCCGTGTGACTGACAAGCATCCCGAACTGCACACAGCTCCGAGGGAGGGAAGCAGAGCCAGCCTGGGTCTGAGGACAGACGTTGCAAAGCAGCCCGAGGGTGGCCATCACTGCAACCTGACTTTACTCCCGTTTCTTCCCCATGACCTTGGCCGCCAGAAAGGGAAGCTGAAACCAACAGGCCGTCAGGCCAAGATGTGAAATGTCCCTGTGCTCATTGCTAAAGAGATCTGGAACAGAGCTGGGAGTCTTGTGGCTGGGGTGATGTCCTCAAGACCCAGGTTTGGACCAGGCCCTGCCTGGCCAGGAGGAGACAGGCCTGAGCCCTCATGGGGCCTGAGGGCTGGAAGGGGTACACCATGGAGATGGGGCGCAACCTCCCCAAGGTTGGCCTGGTGGCTCTCTTGTTGGCACTGGCCTCCTCCCCTCCATTCCACTCCCATATTTAATTTTTTTTTTTTTTTAAAGATGGGGTTTTGCTGAGGCTGGTCTCAAACTCCTGGTCTCAAGAGATCCTCCTGGGACAGGTGCGGTGGCTCATGCCTGTAATCCTAGCACTCTGGGAGGCCAAGGCGGGAGGATTGCTCAAGGTCAGGAGTTTGAGACCAGCCTGAGCTAGAGCGAGACTCCGTCTCTCCTAAAATATAGAAATAAATTAGCTGGACAACTAAAAATATATAGAAAAAAATTAGCCGGGCATGGTGGCGCATGCCTGTAGTCCCAGCTACTCAGGAGGCTGACGCAAGAGGATCGCTTGAGCCCAGGAGTTTGAGGTTGCTGTGAGCTAGGCTGACACCACAGCACTCTAGCCTGGGCAACAGAGGGAGACTCTGTCTCAAAAAAAAAAAAGAGATCCTCTTGCCTTGGCCTCCCAAAGTGCTGGGATTACAGGCGTGAGCCACCACACCCAGCCCCACTGCCAAATTGCAAAGGGCTCCCGACCACCACGTCTGCCCTGAGCTCTCCCCTGTTCACACTGTCCTCCACCAAACTCAGCTGATCCTAGCTCCCGCCTGCTGAAACCCTGTGGATGGACCCAGACCTCCCCTGCTCAGAGTTCTGGGTGGCACTCTCGGCCCCAGAGCTCTGGCAGCTGTTGTCTCTGCCTGGCCCGCACCCATCCCCACACTCCTCTGGGCCTAGTCACTGTGATTGTCCTCTGGGGAAAGACCACGCCCCACTTCCAGTCCATGTGGCTTGTGCTGGCAACCACCAGGGGCAGCCATGTGACTCGGAGCGGACAGCATGCGTATTCTAGACATCAGGCCACAACAGCTGGTTCAGTGATGGGCCAAGGAGAGCACTCCCTCCGACTTCTGCTGGGACTCTTGGGGAAGAGGCAGTTTCTTTCCACTGGAGTTGCGACGCTGGCTGAGTACCAGGAACCACTGTAAGGCAAGAGCCTGCCTGAGAGTGACAACACCACGGAAGAAAGCAAAGCCAAGAGAAGGTCTGAATCATATTCCAGACAGCATCATTTGGGCACCTGGAACCACCTATACCTGGAGCCATCTCTAACTCAAAGCTTTTGGTTACAAAGCCAATAAATTCCTTTCTTCTCTCCCTTAAGCCATTTTAATTTAGGTTTACATCACTTCTAGCCAAAAGCAGGCCCTAACCTCTCCCCTTTAAGACTTCTCTCCCTTACCTTCGTGTGTATCCCAGGTTGCTGCAGAAAACCTAGAAGTGACTGGCCTGAATTCACAGGACGTTTAATGGGTGCTGGGACTTGAACCCCCCTGTGAGCTTGTCTGTCTTACCTCCCCCTACCTGTGACCCAGGTTACTAGCACAGTGTCTACAAACCTTAGAAATTAATACGTATTTGTTGGAAGAAAAAGCAAGCCCTGAGCATCTCCCTAACAGTTCAATATACTTTTCTGAAGCAAAGGTCCATTTTCCACATTTCTCCCTATCAGTCCTGGCATTAACAACACCGACACCCAGGCCAATGACTAGCTCTTCCACGAAACCCCACATCGCCATCCCCTAAGGAATAACTGCCTCGGCCTGTGTTCCTGCCACACTCTGGGGCACATTTATGCACAGACACCTCTGGTGCCACCTCACAGCCCTGGGCCTCCCTGGATTTTCGCTGCAGCTATGGTGGCCAGTTCCATCCACGCAGCTGTACATTCGCACTGTTAGGCAACCATCACCACTATCTACTTCCAGAACGTTTCCATCACCCCCAAAAGAAACCCCATACCCATTCGCAGTTACTCCCCCAGTCCTCCCTTCCCCCACCAATCGACTTTCTGTCCCTGTGGATTTGCCTGTTTTGGACATTTCATAAAATTGGACTCTTACTCCATGTGGCCTTTGGTGACTGGCTTATCTCTCGTAGCATCATGTTTTCGGGGTTCATTTGTACTGTGGCACAAACCAGCGCTCCATTCCTTTTGTGGCTGCATGATATTCCACCGTGTGGCTAGACCACATTATGTTTATCCCTTCTTCAGCTGACGGACATGTGGGTTGTTTCCACTTTTGGCTACCGTGGACAGTGTTGCTATGCACGCTGGTGTAAAAACTTTTGTTTCAACAGCTGTTTTTAATTCTTTTGGGTATATGCCCAGGAGTGGATTTGCTGGGTCATACAGTAGTGTGTGATTACCGACTAACGTCTGGACTAACGCGTCTGCCACTCTAAATTGTAAGCCCCTTGTGGACAGGGACTGGGTCTGTATTTAGCTCACCATTTTATCCTCTGTGCCTGCCACACGGTCAACAATCATTGGAATGAATGCATGAATGAATGCATGAATGAATGCATGAATGGCAGGTGCCCAGGAGCCATTGCTAGGTGGAATGCCCCAGGCCAGAATGTTCCAGGTGCAGTTCTGCCTTTACCCAGCTATGTGTCTTCGGGCAGTAGCTGGTTCTCTCTCCCATTTTGATAACGGGGAACACAAGGCAACCCTGCCTGGAGCCAGCCCCCAGCCTCCCAGAGCCCCTCCATACCCACCTTAGCACCCACCTCCACACCCGCCCTAGCACCCACCTCGGGCTCCTCCTCCCCATTCTGGCTGAGCTCGCCCTGCAGCCTCTCTCGCAGCTTCCCGAGCTCTGACCGCAGGTTGCCCATCTCTTGCTCCTTGGTCTGCAGATCTGCTTCCAGCTCCACCTTCTGCTCAATCAAGGCCTTCCCTTGGGCCTCCACCACTGTGACGCGGTGCCGAAGGTCATGGTTGATCTTCATCAGCCGTGTCTGTTGCTGCTGCAGCTGTAGAGACAGGGAGGCCATTGCGTGGGGCTGCCACCTGCCGTGGCTCAGGCTGCGCACTGCACAAGGGCAAACCATCTACAGGTGTGCCATTTATACCGTGGACATCTTTGTTTGAAACTTGTTCATATTCTTGTAACTATTGATACCAGAGATGGGCAATTTGTATATTTACTATGATAATTTTATGGCAGATGGAAGATAAGTGTCTTGTTAAAATTAATATAGTATGACGGTCTCCTGACAGATGGAGGTAACATGCGTTGAGAAAGGGGCAGCTTTCCCTAATCCAGGCAGAGACAATGTATGCGTTCCTGGGGCAGCTGGGCCCCTGCTAAGTCGCTCAGAGGCCATGACGGGAGGCAGGTCAGAGCAAAGGCTGATGGGGCCTCAGGACGTCCCTGGCTGTGTTTCAAGTTTGGGCCCCCCAAGCCATAGGCAGGATCCCCCACCCCATGGAGCCCAAAGAACGAGACTGAGGGGGCAGCAACCCCCTGAGTGGAGGATCCAGTCTCTTGCTGGTACCTACTGGAGGGTGGACGCAGGTTAAGGGCACATCACTTACAGCCTCGACGTCCTCATTTTTCAGGCCGAGCTCCCTGTCCTTGGCACGGATCTCGTCACGCTGCTTGTCCACCACCTCCTTCAGCTTTTTCATCACCTGCCGCTCCCGCTCTGACATGCCTGGGGTGGGGCAGGTGGGACCAGCAGGTGAACCCACCCCCCCCCACACACACACACTGAAATTGCCCGCAGCTTCCCACCGAGAACGAAACTGAAGTCTTAGTGGCCCCCAGCCTCACCCTCTTCGGCCCCCACAGCCCTTCACCCACCCAGCGCCTGCTCTCTCTGCTCCTGGGCCCCTCCAAGCTCATTACCCGCTCAAGGCCTCTGCCCGCTTCTCACCTCCCCATGGCTGGCTCAAATGTCACCTCTTCACAGAGGTCTTCCCTCCTCTGACCACGCCAGAGCAGCCCCCAGCTCCCACCCCCCCGTTAGCGTCTCTCTGACCCGACCCTTCGCCCCCCATTCCTTATATTCCCAGCACTCTTCACAGTCACTAAGTGTCTTTACGTTCTTTTATCTCACAGACGATGTTAGGCGCGGTGGCTCACGCCTGCAATCCCAGCACTCTGGGAGGCCGAGGCGGGAGGATCACTTGAGCTCAGGAGTTCAAGACCAGCCTGAGTAAGAGTGAGACCCTGTCTCTACTAAAAATAGAAAAAATGAGCCGGGCATGGTGGCGCATGCCTGTAGTCCCAGCTACTCGGGAGGCTGAGGCAGGAAGATCCCTTGAGCCCAGGAGTTGGAGGTTGCTGTGAGCTATGATGACGCCACGGCACTCTAGCAGGAGGGACAGAGTGAGACTGCCTCAAAAAATAAAAAAAGGTCAAGGTGATAAATTTTATGTAATATGTAAGGTGTATTTTCACAGTGAAAAAATAACTACATATTATATATAATATATCCCACTAGATTTCAAAGATTGAATATGACATGAAAAGACTTAATATGAAAAAAGAATACAAAATAGCCCATTGATAATTTGCATATTGATTACATGTTGCAAGGATATTTACTATTTTGGATCTACTGGGTTATGTAAAATATATTATGGAAATTACTTTCAACTGTTTCTTTTTACTTTTTCTAATGTGCCAACCAGAAACATTACAATTACTTCTGTCTCTAATGCACAATGCTGTTCCGTGCTGCCCTTCAGAAAATGACCATGTGGCCAGTTTCCCTCCTCCCTGGTGACTAAGTCGCCTCACCAGAGCCCAAGGTGTTTTTTCCAGACCCTCGAGCCTATCTCGCGCCCCATCTCCCCAGAGCGATGGCTCGGACACCGTGATTCATCCCTGCGTGTGCTAACAAGTAGTTTTCATAGGTTGCCCTCCAGCTGACAAGATGCACTTCCAAAAACAAGGGGGCAGGGAAGTGCTTTTTAATCTAGGGATTTCCAGGAGCTGAAATACGGGAAACTGCCAGGGTGACTCTGAGCACAGCGACCGGTGTTAACTGTTGAGAAAGCCACACTGTTCCATGCAGGGCCGGCTCCTCTGAGCTCCCCACCGCACTCCCCTGCACAGGACTCAGACGACTGCTCCCCTACATCCTCAGTCTACCCATAGGCCCCTGCCCAGCGCTTTCTTCATGTGGCACCTGCCACACGGTCACAACTTCACGGGCTCCCCCTTCTCCCAGGGACCTCCTCGTCTGCCCAATGTCTGTTCCCCTAGCAGGTGGAAGAGATGCTTTTGTCCTTGTGTTCCCATGGTTTCCCATGCAAAATAAAAATAACCGTGAAAGGCACGCCTGGCATCTGCCCGGGCTCTCCACTCCGGCGGGGGCTGCTGCCAAGTGGCCTCCTGAGCTAACCCTTCAGGAGCCAGACCCACACCAGACACTGCTGAAGTGCATCTTAAGTCACGTGCGTGTAGGCTGTTTCATGACGAGCCCAGCAGGGATCCGGCAGCTGTGAAAGCAAAGCAAAGCTTCCCACATGCAGGACGAGTGGCGTGCCAAGCAAGCAGCTCAGAGCTCTAAGGTCCGTGGCCTGCACGTCCCTGAGGCCTTTGGGCCTTAGTGGGACAGGCCAGGAATCCCAGGTCACCCCCAGAGGCCTCCGGGTGCCCTGCAGAAATGCCCAAAGTTCAACACCGTTTCCATATGACCCAGCAATTCCACTCCTAGTTACATACCCCAAAGAACTGAAAGCACGCGTCCACGCAAAGCCTGGGCACAAATGTGCGCAGCAGCACTGTTCGCAACAGCCCAAAGGTGGACACACCCCATGAGCCCATTGACGGATGAACAGATAAGCAACATGCGGGCTCTCTACAGGATGGAGCGTAATGCAGGCACAGAAGGCAGCGAGGCACTGAGCCATGCTGCGGCATCCGTGGACCTCGAAAACATGACGCTAAGTAAAAGAAGCCACACACAAAAGACCGAATAGTGTATGATTCCATTTACAGGCAATGTCCAGAAAAGACAAATTCGCAGACACAGAGTAGATCAGCAGGTTCTTACAGCTTAGGGCAAAGAGGGCATGATGTTTCTTTGTAAGGTGATGAAAATGTTCTAAAATTGTGGTGATGGTTGCACAACTCTGTGAATAGACTAAAAACCACTGAATTGTACAATTTTTTTTTTTTTAGACAAGATCTCTGTTACCCAAGCCGGAGCATAGTGCTATAATCATAGCTCACTGCAACCTCCTGGGCTTAAGTGATCCTCCTGCCTCAGCTTTCTGAGTAGCTGGGACTATGGGTGAGTGCCACTATGGGTGAGTGCCTGGCTCGTTTTTCTTATTTTTTTGTAGAATGGGGTCTCGCTATGTTGCCCAGGCTGGATGAACTGTACGCTTTAAATGGTGAATTGTATGGTACGTGAATAATATCTCAATGAAGCTGATACAAAACAAATGATGGCAAATATCTATCTAGTGCTTACCATGTGCTAAATACTTTACCATATATTAACTCATTTAATCCTCATAATAATATCCACATTTTACAGTTGAAGAAGCTGATTTATGGAAAAGTAAATCATCTTGCTAAGATCCCCTTGCGGGGATCTAGCTGAGCTGAGATTTGGACCCAGGCAGTCAGAGATGACCTGATGTAAAGATGCCCCAGTAGGGCACACTGGCTCATGCCTGTCCTCCTCACACTTTGGGAGTCCAAGGTAGGAGGATGTCACTAGAGCCAGGAGTTCAAGACCAGCCTGGGCAATGGAGGGGGACCCAACCCCTCCTATAAAAATAAAATAAAATAAAATAAGGCCGGGCGCGTGGTGGCTCACGCTGTAATCCTAGCACTTGGGAGGCCGAGGCGGGGATTGCTCAAGGTCAGGAGTTCGAAACCGCCGAGCGAGACCCGTCTCTACGAAAATAGAAAGAAATATTGACACAACTAACCTATTAATACCAAAAAAGTTAGCGGGCATGGTGGCGTATGCCGTAGTCCAGCCTATCCGGGAGGCTGAGCAGTAGGATCCGCTGGCCCCGAGGATTGAAGGTTCGTCTGTGACCAGGCTGACGCCACGCGCACCTCACTCTAGCCTGAGCAAAACCAAAAAAGTTGGAAGAAAAAAAACTCCTGTTCCCTAAAAAAAATAAAAAATATAAAAAAATAAAACCATTAAAATACAAATAAGAATAAAAAATTAGCTGGTGTGGGGCGCATGCCTATAGTCCAGCTACTTTAGAGGCCGAGGCAGGAGGATCTCTTGAGCCCAGGAGTTCAAGGCTCGCAATGAGCTATGATGCACCACTGCCTGCCACGCCTGGGCGAACGAGAGTCGAGACCCCCTGTCTCTAAAAAAAATATTTTTTAATTAAAAAAAAAAAAGATGCCCCCTAGCAAGTCGCTTTCTCTCAGATCCCCTGTGACAGCTCTCCCACAGCACAGGTGGCCACCTGGAGCTATGCCATCTGTTTATTTGTTTACATGTTTATCACCCCATCTCCTCTGCATGCGGGGAGGGTCTCCGTCGTGTCTCGTGTGTATTCCAGGGCCGAGACAGGAGCCCGACAAACACAGGGGGGTCTGTAACAGTGTGCAACGAACCTCTGTGTCACCATCTGTAAACCGAGGCAGGGTTATGGTATAAATCAACACGACGACAGGAGCCCAAAGGCTTTGGACATCAGAAAGCACCGCGGGCACGTTCAGGGAACATGATGGTGACGACGACGACAGGAACAGCCCTCTGCTCACACCCTGAGCCCACCCCTCTTACCTTCGTGCTTCTGGAACTCCTCCTCGGAGAAGCTGACGTCCTTGTGGGACAGGTTGGTCATGAGCTGCTTGTTCTCCTCCTGCAGCTGCGCTATCTGGGAGAGGAGGTCCTGCGCCTCCCCGCGCCACACGTCCTCCACCAGCTCCAGCTCCTGCCAAGGCCGGGCACGCGGCGGGGTCACGGCCTGTCCAGGGCCGCTTGGGCTGCCCCATCCCCATGAGAACCAGGCGTCGGGCAGGTGGGCAGGCAAGGCCACCGCCAGCCCTTTGCGGCACCTCTGCAAGGAAGAGAAGGTGCCTCCCCGCGGCCAGGCCTGCATTTCTGCTGCTAGGACGGGCCCGGATAGAACCGCGCCAAGGCCGAGCACAAGGCTGGCTCTGAGTGTGGCTGAGCGGCCGCAGCCTGCGGGGCCCCTAACGTTCCCAGCCACCTCTGGGGAGGCCATGCCCCTGAGCTTTGGACAATCAGGGCACGCCTGCTTCTCCAAGGGAGAGAGAGGCTTCAAAGATCCTGGGCCCGTCTAGGCCGACAGGGCCGTCCTGCCCCAGCGCTCCTTAGCTATCGGATACAGGCATCGCTCCAAGGGGTCTTAAGCAACACTTAACCACTCCGAGCCTCAGTTTCCCTCATTCTGGGAGCCAAAACATAAAGGCTCACAAGGTGGATGTGAGGATAAGTAAGATCAGTCTAGTGCAATTATTTTGTGGATGTCTGGAATCAAAGCAACAAGTGCTCACAAGAATATGAAGAAATTAGAACTCTCCTACACTGCTGGTAGAAGGTAAAATGGTACAGCTATGTTGGAAAACAGTCTGATTCCTCAAAATGTTAAAGAGTCCGCCCAGAGGCCGGGCGCGGTGGCTCACGCCTATAATCCTAGCACTCTGGGAGGCCGAGACGGGCGGATTGCTCGAGGTCAGGAGTTCAAAACCAGCCTGAGCAAGAGCGAGACGCTGTCTCTACTATAAATAGAAAGAAATTAATTGGCCAACTAATATATATAGAAAAAATGAGCCGGGCATGGTGGCGCATGCCTGTAGTCCCAGCTACTCGGGAGGCTGAGGCAGCAGGATCGCTTGAGCCCAGGAGTTTGAGGTTGCTGTGAGCTAGGCTGATGCCATGGCACTCACTCTAGCCTGTGCAACAAAGCGAGACTCTGTCTCAAAAAGAAAAAAAAAAAAAGAATCCCCCCCGAGCCCAGCAATTCCACTATTAAGATCTGCCCGAGAGATACAAAAGCATATGTCCACACAAACATGTGTGTATGTGAATGTCTGTAGCGGCATTATTCATAGTAGCCAAAAGGTAGAAACAACCCGAATATCCATCAACTGAAGAATGAGCAAATAAAACATCGTCTGTCCATATGATGGAATAATACTCGGCCATAAAGAAGAATGACATTCTGACACATGCTACAACATGGAGAAACCTTGAAAATATGCTACGAAAAGAAGCCAGGCCAGCTATGGTGGCTGGCGCCTATAATCCCAGCACTCTCAGAGGCCAAAGCAGGAGGATTTCTTGAGATTAGGAGTTTGACGCCAGCCTGAGCAAGAGCAAGACCCGGTCTCTACTAAAAATAGAAAAATTAGCTGGCCATGGTGGTGCACACTGGGACTATTTTTTGTGGTCCCAGCTACTTGGGAGGCAGAGGCAGGAGGATCACTTGAGCACAGGAGTTTGAGCCTGCAGTAAACTATGATGATGCCACTGTACTTGAACTGGGGTAACAGAGTGAGACACTGTCTCCAAAAAAAAAAAAAAAGAGAAATAAAAGGAGCCACAAAGGCCATATATTTTATGATCCCATTTATATGAAATGTCCAATATAGGTAAACCCACAGAGAGAGAGCAGACTGAAGGTCGTCTAGAGCCAGAGTGCTGGGGTAAATGAGGATTGACTGTTATTGGGTATAAATTTTCTTTTTGGAATAATGAAAATGTTCTAAAATTGATTGTGGTGATGGTTGTACAGCTCTCTGAATATACTAAACATCACTGAAGTGTAGCCTTCAAACGACATGTTATATGGTATCTGAATCATACTCACTAAAGCTGTTACCTAAAAAGAAGAAGTCTCTTGTACAACTGTAAACTAGTTCGCAAAGCAGCACTGCCATTGCCTGGATAAAACAGCGGGGTGAGGCGTGGATGCTGGCACCTGTTGGCCCAAGTTTCAGCCCTGTCTCTGCCACTGACTAGCTGGCCTTGGGCAAGTTACTCAGCCTTTGGGCGCCCCGGAAACGAGGAAAGAAGTGTGTTATCTCCCTCGGAGGGCTGCTGTGAGGATCAATGGTCACTACATATAAAGCATCTGGAATATGCCTGCCACCCAGGAAGTGCTAATGGCCATGTGTGTACTAATCCCTGTTCCTCCTACAATCCGCCACAAGCCCGCCAGGTGGCCGGACACTCAGCATCACGTCTGGCCATCGTCTAAATAAGTTCTTAGATCCCACCTCCTCTGTGAGGAAGCCTGCCGCACTGGGGAAAAGAGGAGTGACAACCAAGTGTGCAGACAGCTGGCGCGAGGTCACCAGGGGAGGTGAAGGGCAGGGGGCGGCCAGCAGAACACTGGCTTTGAAGATGGAGGAAGGGTCCCCAAGCCAAGGAATGCAGACAGGCTCCCAAAGCTGGAAAAGGCAAGGAAATGGGTTCTCCTCTAGAGCATTCCGAAGGAATGGTGTCTTCTTGACACCTTGATTTTTAACCCAGTGAGACCCATTTGTGACTTCTGACCTCCAGAACTTTATCCAGTGTTATTCGTACTGATATTATCCACATGCCTCCACGATCCTCCGTGACACTGTATCCACACGTATCCAGACTAAGCCGTGCAGGGTGGCTCACGCCTGTGATCCCAGCACTCTGGGAGACCAAGGCTGAGATGGGAGGATCGCCTGAGGCCAGGAGTTTGAGACCAGCCTGGGCAACACAGAGAAAACCCCATCTCTACAAAAAATAAAATATAGCCAGGTGTGGTGGTATGCACCTGTAGTCCCAGCTACTCTGAAGGCTGAGGCTAGAGGATCACTTGGGACCACGCCTTCTGCCTAGAATGCCCCTCCCCCCGGATCTCTCGGTGGCTGGTTTCCATACTTCATCTGGGCCTAAGCTCAGATGTCACCTCCCCAGGGAAGCCTTCCTGACTGCCCCATCTATCAGACCACCACTCTAGTCTTAATCTCCCTGTTTTATTATTTTCTCCATGGCACTTATAAACCGATTAAAAAAAAATCTATCTCCTTATGCTAGAATTGCACTAGCCCATAGAGGAGCCGCTAACCACACGTGGCTGTTTGAGCACCTGAAATGTGGCTGGTCTAAGTGGGGACACAGGGTAAGGGTGAAATATGCACCAGATCTTGAAGACGTGGTAGGAAGAAAAGAATGCAAAATATCTGAATAATAATGTTTTACGCCGATTACATGTTGAAACAAAAATATCTTAGATATACTGGATTCTATAAGATATATTAACATTAATCTCACATTATTTCTTATTATTAACATGGCAAGCCACATGATATGTCTATGGGCTGGCACTGCACTAAAAGGTCAGGCCCGTGGGGGGCCAAGACCTCATCTGTCATGGTCACTGCTGTCTCCCCAGCGCCCACAACAGTGTCTGGCACACAGGAGGTGCTCAATAAATAGATCTGCTGAGTGAGTGACCGTAGGCTGTTCATGTTATCTGCAATTGTATCAGCCCAGCCGCTGCTTTCGAAAGCCTGCTACCCGCCCGCGGCCTGACACGAGTGTGGCTTTGCTTTTCTCCATGTAGCCCATGTCACCGGGGATGGCACTCGGCACTCTGTGGCCCGTCAACGGGGCTGCAGATTGAGTGACGAGATAGAACGTGATAGGACGGTGGCCTGTGTCTAAGTGATGAGTCGAAGCGACTGAGTGGGGGTCTACCGGGAGGGGGTGTAGGTGGAAGAGAGGGTGTGTGCTTTACCGGAGCCTTCTTTGTTAAAAGAGAAAGGGAGGGAGGGGAGAAGAAGGAAGGAAGGGGGGGCAGGCAGACAGACAAGACCAAGGACATGCTAAGAAGATTTTTGTGGAAATATCACCTTGAAGAGCCTTTGAGGCTGCAGGAAGAATAAATAAATAAAAGTCAGATTGAGTCCCTCCTCTTTCCCAAGAATGCAAAGCAAAGGGGCTGGGGCTGGGGTGGGAGAGGAGGACTCTGTCCTCAGATTTATGAGAGGTCATTGCTGATGTTTATAAACAAGCCCTGGCCCTGAGCACTGGCTGTTTACTTCCTAGCTGATGGTGTTCCAGACGCAACAAGTGCAGCTGGCTGAGAATTCCGTCCGCTTTAGGCCTAGCAGCCCAAAGCCACGAGGGTGTCTCCCAGCCCAGGCAGAGCTAGAGAGACAGGGGGTGGGGGCAGGTGTAGGTGCCAGGACTCCTGTGTGACCTGGCTCAAGCCCCTTCGTCCCTATTAAGAAGCAGCCGCCACATGGGAGAATGCCAAACGTCCCTTCCCTCCTCGACCCTCTAGGAGAGATGGAGGCATCTGGGGTAGGAGGAGGGATGTCTGGGGTGGCCATGGCTCCCCAGGACCAGCCTGTGAGCACCTCAGTTAAAGTATCTCTAGGCCTCAAAATAATAGTTAACATTTGTAAAGTCCTTGCTATGGGCAGGCTCTGTCCTGAGCACTTTGTATATATTAATTCCATTAATCCTCACCACAATTCTATAAGGTACCTACTGTTAGTACCCTATTTTACAGCTGAGGAAACTGAGGCACAGAGAGGCTGTGCAATTTGCCCAAGATCACACAGTCCACAAATGGTGGGGTTTGAAACCAGGCTGTCTAGCTCCAAAGCCCTTGCTCCTAGGAACCTTTAATTACCAGACTGAAGCATTGTCAAGCTCCCACCATGACCTTGGAAATGCTGCCCAACTCCAGGGAGTTTCCTTCCTGACCCCAGGGCATAGAGACCTAAGGGATACACACATTGAAACCTGGCAAAAGAGCTGTTAACCACCCACCATCTGCCCTCAGGTTAAGGCTGCAGGCCCAGCTTTGGCCATTCTCCCTGAAAACACACAGATCATCAAAGTACACAATAGGTGATGGCCTGCCAGCCAGGTCCAGAGAGGCCAGTTTTATTTCCTGAGGCCACACAGCAAGCCAGAGACGGCTCAGGCACCCCAATCTCTCAAGGAAAGGTGTTTCCTCCCATTCTCAGTCTGAAGGCCCTGCCGGGAGCATCCCTGGGCCGAGGTTAGGGCAGGAAACCACAAGTCTCCCACTTCCTCTTCTCCAGGAACTTCGTCTGGACTCCCCGCCCAGGGGGAGGCCCTGATTCAGGCAGATTCCTATGCCCAGGGGAGAGGCTTAGCCTCCCAACTGCCTCAGATAACCCCCTTGCCCGGGTTCAAATGGCGTGGGGAGGAGACACTGGGGCTGGGACCCTATCACCACTAACTTGAGACAAATCCCTCCCGACTCTTCCCTCAGTTTCCTCATCTGTGAAAGGAAGATAATTCCTACCTCCCGAGTCCTGTGAGGATTCCAGATAAAATCAAGGAGGGGAAAGCACAGGGCACAGGTTAATCAACTAGGGGGACCCCAGGAAGAAAGTTACAAACATGAACTCAGAGACTGGGCTCAGTGTAAGCTCACTGGCTGCATGTCACATTCCCCTTGCTCTGGCGGGGTTTGGGGTGGGGGAGAAGGGAGCCTGGTGTCACATCTTCTTGGGTCTCACTGAAGGGCAGGGGGCTCATTTCATTTCTGGAAAAGAATAGTAATATCCAAGCACTTAACCTATGTCATCCCATTTCATTCTTATAAGATGATCACCATTTGACAGGTGAGGGCATAAAGCACAGAGAGGTTAAGTCACTTACCCAATGTCACACAGCTACTAAATGGTACAGGTGGGACTGGAACTCAGGTCTGACTCCAGAGACCTGCTCTGAATCTCTCAGGTGGTATATGCCAAGGGCCTCCCTCCCTCACCCAGTCCAGTCCCCTCTTGTCTGTCCCTGCCTACACGTGTGCGCACCCACAGCGGCCCAAAGCTGAAGGGCCCTTGCGTCCCAGCGGCCCACTGCCCGGACGGGCAGACTGAGGCTGCTGCCCACCTTCCGATGCTTGCGCTCCTTCTCGATGCGGTCCATCCTCTCCAGGCGCAGGCGGTCCAGCTCCAGGCGCAGCTCGTCCAGCTCGGGCGCGACGTGGTGGCGGCTGACCAGCACCTCCAGGATCTCCAGGACGCGCACGACCTTGGGCACGAGGCGCGCGATGGCCTCGAAGCCGTGCTGGTCGATGACCCGCTCGAACTCCTGGCCCACGAGCGACGCGATGGCGTACACGTCCGTGACGGTCAGCTCGGCCACGTTCTTCTCCAGCGCCGACTCGGCCGCCAGCGCCGACCCCCGCTCCTCGTCCATGGCGGCGCTGCCGGCCTCTCGCGCACCCCGCAAACTAGTGCAACTCCCAAACTTGCGGCTGTCGAGGGCAGCGCGGGCCGGGCCCACCCGGGCGCCGCGGGCGCCGCGCTCAGCCTGCCGGGGCGAGCGCGGCCGGGGGGCGGGCGGCGCATGGGCGGGCGGGGGGCGCGGGCGGGGGGCGAGGGCGGCGCGCCGGGCGGCGGGTCTGGGCGCCCGGCTCGGCCCGAGCCTGCTCCCGAGTGGGGGAGGGGAGGGGACGAGGAGGAGGAGGCGAGGAAGGCGCGCGCGTGCGCAGGCCCGCGGCGCCTCCCAAGTTGGGAAGCCGAGTTGGGCGCAATGGAGGCCCGGGGGCTCGCCGGCCGGGCCCGCGGCCCGCGGAGGCAGTTCTCGCCCGCGGGCGCCGGGCCGGGGAGGAAGGGCGGCCCGGGCTCCGCCGGGAAACTTTGGCGGCGCGGCGAGCCGGGCGGCCGCTCCCCGCGGGATGCCGAGCGCGCCGATCCCGGCTGGCGAGGCGCGCCCCGCCGGGGCGCCCCGCGGTCCCACCCGCCGCGCTCGGAGCTGCTCCCGCCCCACCCGGGCCCGACGCGCCCTCCGCCGGTGCCGGCTGCTCCCCGCCCCCCGCGGGGGAGGTCGCGGCGGGCCCGGAGGGAGGGCCGGGGAGGGGCGCTTGTCTCGCCGGGCAGTTCGCGGCCCCTGCCTTGAGGGGGGACGGAGGGGGCCTGGGCGGACTCCGGGATGGGGCTCATCCTGGGGACAAAGCGGCGCACCCCGCCCGCGGACCCTCCCCGCCGCCCGGGTCACCCGGCGGGCCTGCGCTCGGGCACAGGCGCCGGGCGAGGGGCGCGCCGGTCTGAGAGTTCTCTGTCCCCAAAGCCGCCGGCTCCCCGCCCGCCGAGCCACGTCCCTGAGCGGCTCTCGTGACATAAACACCATCTCAGCACCACCGATGTCCTTACCCCACGCCCCCTGTCCTTTTGGACTGGCCAAATCCACGTGTCCCTCAGACCCCATCCCACCCCAGGAGAGCCCTCCCCCAACCCACGCCCCCGTGCACCCTCCTGTCCCCTCACCCCTGAGTCAGGGACCCTCCGCAAACCCCACAGTCCGCCGCTTCCCCGTGAAAACCGCTCTCAGCGCCCTGAGTTTATCGTGTGGTTGCACATGCCCGCGCCATCTCACTGTCAGCCCCTCGGAGCAGAAATCTTAAGGCCGTGTAGCCTTACAGCACACCCCAAACTTGCATATATTGATTACAATTCAAAAAAAAAGTTAAAGTGTATTGAGTATTTGCTTCACATTGTAAGAACTATGTAGTACTTACTGCGTGCTAAGTAAGCATTCTTCTAAGTGGTTTATAAATATTACTCCTTTAATCCTCACCCCACAGGTTCCCAAAGTGTGGCCTAAGGACTGCTGAGAGTCCCCAAGAGCCAAAGGGTCTCTGCGAGGTTGTCACGTTTTGCAGCTGTACCCCAGTGTGGGGCTGGCCGTTCTGCATGTACTTGACACAAAACAGCCTATCAGAGAGACTGCAAGCAGAGGCAGGGTTGGGGACCCAGCTCTCTTCTAATTAGCTAGACATCAGAGACCTGCAAAAACACAGAACGGTACCACTGTTCTAAGAATTTTTGGTTTGTTTATTTTGGAGCATAGAGTTATCTTTATTTTTTTTAATCTATTTTTTTCTTTTTTTGAGACAGTCTCACTCTGTTGCCCGGGCTAAAGTGCCGTGGCGTCAGCCTAGCTCACAGCAACCTCGAACTCCTGGGCTCAAGCGATCCTCCTACCTCAGCCTCCCGAGTAGCTGGGACTACAGGCATGTGCCACCATGCCCGGCTCATTTTTTCTATATATTTTTAGTTGGCCAATTAATTTCTTTCTAGCTTAAAAGCATCAGTTTAAATTTCTAATTACAGTAGATATCAATAGATACCACCCATCTAACGAAAGCTCTTTCAGTCGTTTTTAAGAGTGGAAAGAGTTCCTGAGACCAAAAGGTTTGAGAACTCTCCCTTACAACATCCATATTTTCCAAATGAGGAAACTGAGGCACAGAGCAATTAGACAACTCCTCTAAGGCCAGGCAGCCGGTAGAGGTAAGTCCAGGGTCAGACCTGTGCAGTCCGGCCTTAAGTTTGTGCCTAAACACCTCTTCCTTGCTGGGGACATGTGCTAAGCACTTTAAACCACTTAAATCCTCGCGGCAGGCCAAACGAAGTGGACATGTCATTATTTCCCTTCTGAGACAAGGACAGGGCCATGGGGAGGTGGATTAATTTCCTGTCGCTACTGTAATAAACTGCCACAACCTTGGTGGCTTAAAACAACAGAAACTTTTTCTCTCTTCCAGAGGCCAGAAGTCCAAAATCGAAGTGTCAGCACTGGCACATTCCCTCCAAGGGCCCTAGGGGAGGGTCCCTCCTGGCCTCTTCCAGTTTCCGGTGGCTCCAGGTATCCCATGGCTTGTGGCTGCATCACTCCAATATCTGCCTGTCCCACGTCAGCTCTCCTACTGTCCTATGTGTCTGCCTTCTGTGTCTTTTTTTTTTTTTAAGATAGGGTTTTACTCTATTACCTGGGCTAGAGTACAAACTACAGCCTCGAACTCCTGGACACTAGCGATCCTCCTGCCTCTGCCTCCCAAGTAGCTGGGATTACGGACCTGTGCCACCACACTCAGCTAACTTTTTCTATTTTTTATAGAGACCCGGTCTCACACTTACTCAGGCTGGTCTTGAATATTCCTGACCTCAAGCAATCCTCCTGCCTCGGCCTCCCGGAGTGCTAGGATTACAGGCGTGAGCCGCCTCGCCTCGTCTGGCCCTCTTTGTGTCTTTTGGAGAACTTGTGTCGTTGGATTTGGGGCCCATCCAGGTAATCAAAGATGCTCTCATCTCAAGATCCTTAATTTAATCATGTCTGTAAAGACCCTTTTTTCAAATAAGGTCACGTTTACAGGTTGTAGGAATTATGATGAGGGTATGTATTTTTTGGGAGGAGGCAGGTAGGGGTTCACCATTCAGTCCCCTACAGAAGGATAAGTCACTTTGTCACACGGCTAAGAGGGACAAAGCTGGGAATTGAACCTGGTGGGTGCCCATGGTCAATGAAAGAAGCGATAATAAATGGCCAAACTGGGGCAACTTGCTCCTTCCAGGCAGCACAGATGTACCGAGAGTCCACTGGGAGGGGGACAAAGACGAAGGAGCCACAGGGCCAGCTGCATCCTGTGCCTCAGGACAGGTGGCAGGGTGGGGGAGATGGAAAATACTTTAAGGAGGGAACTGTGGGGGCAAGAGTCCAAGGTGACCCCCCCCAAATGGTGATCTGAGTGCTTATAAGAATGTTGACAAAGTAGGAGAGGCAGTTGAGCCTAGTGGTTAAGCATCCAGAGCCATCTCTCTGTGCTCTAATTTGTCATACTCACTGACCGGGTGTGGGACGAGTCACGTGAGTTCTTGGTGCCTCAGCTTTCCCCTCTGTAAAATGGAATGATAGTAGTGCCGAGTTCAGAGGGTAATTGTGGTTATTAAATGAATCAAGGTATTCTGGCCACATAAAGTACTATAAAACAGTTGTTTATTATTACTAATTATTATTATCATTGAAACCTAGGGGACATGTCCTAGATGGGTGTAGGTGTAAATGTCCAGTTGGCAGCTGGACATGTGAACCTAGAGCTCAGAGCTATAGAAGCTGACGAGATAAGACCCACATCATCACCCATCCATTCATTCACTAAATATTTAGCTCTTACTACGTGCCAGGTAGTATGCTAAACCTGCAGGATCTGACAATGTGTCAGAGAGACAGGACTGCCGCTCTCTTGGGAAATAGAGAGTAAGAAAGGTAAAACCAAAAATAAACTAATTTCTGATAGAGCAAGAGAGGGTTAAGAAAGGGGAAGAGAATCAAGAAATTGGCATGTCAAGGAAACCAGGTGTACCAACCAGCACTCTTAAATTGTAAGAGTTCCAGACACGGTATCTTTTCTTTTTCTTTTTTTTTTTGAGACAGAGTCTCGCTTTGTTGCCCAGGCTAGAGTGATGTGTCGGTGGCATCAGCCTAGCTCACAGCAACTCTAAACTCCTGGGCTCAGCGATCCTTCTGCCTCAGCCTCCCAAGTAGCTGGGACTATAGGCATGCGCCACCATGCCCGGCTAATATTTTCTATATATATTAGTTGGCCAATTAATTTGTTTCTATTTATAGTAGAGATGGGGTCTCGCTCTTGATTACGCTGGTTTCGAACTCCTGACCTCGACCAATCCGCCCGCCTCGGCCTCCCAGAGTGCTAGGATTACAGATGTGAGCCACCACTCCTGGCTACATTCTCTTTTCATTCTTTTTTTTCCTTGCCTCAAAATTTATGTTGATGAAACACCCATAATGCGAAGACAAAAATCCCAGTCTGGAGTTTGCTAATTTCATCACTGTGATGTCCTTTAACATGTTTGTCTGTCACCTGTATTTTCTGTAAACTGGTAGTTGGATCAAGAGGTTTCATTGGGCCAGGTGCATGCCTGTAGTCCCAGCTACTCGGGAGGCTGAGGCAGGAGGATCGCTTGAGCCCAGGAGTTTGAGGTTGCTGTGAGCTAGGCTGACGCCACGGCACTCACTCTAGCCTGGGCAACAAAGTGAGACTCTGTTTAAAAAAAATAAAATATCTAGCTTTGTTTTACTCTTTCTTAAATGTATGGATAGCTCCCATTTATTTCAATGTTTAACATTAGAAGTGTTTTTTTGGTCTTTATTTAGAAGTTTGGTGATATTTTTGTGATCAGAAACATGCGGTAGTAACTCTTGTTTCTGTCAATTAGCCTATAGTAAAATTGGTTTCTTCAGACAAGAAGAAACTTGCTTAAAAGTGGCACTTTCCAGGAACCTGTCGCTGACGTTAAGCGAGGACGTCCCGTACCTGTTTAAAAAAGCAAATGTCGCAAAAGGATAGACGGTGAACATAAGTTGTTGCCAGGCCAAAGCCATTGTTTCACTCTCCCCCCAGCGCAGAAAGGTGACCCGTATACAATGACAAACCGCACGGGTCAATGCTGTACCCAACTCTAATCCAGACTGTGTCACACAGTCGGGAGTGGCTTCCTGGGGGAGAGGGAGTGGAGGTGCAGAGAGAAGAAGAGAGGCCGCAGCCACGTGTGTGGGGCCCAGGGCAGCAGGGCTGTGCTGGCTCCTGAGTCAGCAGGCTGAGCCAGCGGTGGCAGTGGTGCTGGCGGGGCG